GGACAACAAAAAAAGTAAAAGAAAACGTTGATTAACACTTCAACTTGAATTTTCACCTTTAAACCATGAAATGACAAGAACCATTGATTCGATGGAGTTGATTCGAGAGTGTTTACTGCGCACAGCACGAAAAATCGCCTTTACCATGCGTCAAATGTGTTGTTAAAGGTTTTGTAAAGGCCTCCTTTGCACGCTTTTGACGATCTGTGACTCAAATCAAAGATCATCTTGAAATGAAAGGTGTGAAGGCCGTTTTTACTCACCTGTGAACGTCTTTGTTTTTAGGGTTAAAGGTGATCCTTTGATACGCCTTTACGCATTGTCAAAGGTGGGTTAAAAGTGTAATCAAATTTGTCTGCGATTCAAGTCAAAGGCTTGCTAAAGACGTGGTCAAAGATGGCTGTGACACAGGTCAAAGGTTTGTCAAAGGTGCTCCGTGCGTTCCGCTCTCACGCGTCTCGCCCAAACTTCTCGCTCGCGCTCCTCTTTCAGGATTCGCGACCGTTGATCATGTTTCGCGTGATCTACATCTTATATGCATTTTTCTGCTTGCTACACTAGCTTTGTAGCACTGCATACAAAGGATGCAATCATATCTGTACTCTTGTTTTATGTCTGACAAGTTTTGAAGATTATGTCATCTTTAATAAGGTTATTTTGTACCAAAACTCTTGACAAATGTTAATGGAAAAGCGGCCCGGAAAGATCATTGCACCTGATTTTAGGAAAATAAATATACTCAACTTCATCTCAGTTTTAATTTGTTTTTCCGTTTTTATCACGAGTAAATACCTTCAAGTACCTTACATAAATGTTCTGGGCTTCAGGTTTCAAAAAGCCACGTCACAGGCTTGGTTTCAAACTACACGTAATGCGACTGATCATAAGGAAAACATTGTTCCGTCTATCATGAAAATAACAGTCAACAAATCTTCCATGGTACAAAGCGCATTTATCTAGCATTGAAGTACTATGGCTAAATTCTCAGTTCCTTAAATTTTCTGGACCAGACTAGACAATAGGGAGGATAACCGCAAAATTTCGGGAGAGATATGGCAAACTTCACACAAAAGTCAACTAGTGTATAAGCGTCCTTTCCAGATGGCACATACAGTCCATTGCATGGAACTCCTAATGTTTTGGCAGTTCTCCTTTTCTGCTGCTTGCACTTGCTCACTCTTGCATTATAAGTGAAATGGAATACAGTGTTTTCCACTTCTTTCTCATCAAAGTGGTTAAACTGCCCTGTTGGGGGTCAATGCCAACTGAATCCCCATGCTTTCTAGGGAAGACACATTTTGACAAAGTCTAAGACGTTGACGAAATTAATCAATGCATCTTCACTGGATAAGTCCATCCTGTCAACCATTGCTTGTTCGCATTTATCTAAACAGAAGCAAACAGACAAACACGTTGGAAATGAATATTAAGGGTGAATCTTTGCATTCTATTCCTTAAAGTTTACCTATAGTTTTTGATTATATCACAGTACTAAAACGTGACCAATCAGATCATTATTCCTCCTCCGAATAGTTTGTACTTCTGTCAATAGCAAACATGTATTTAATTTCACCGCAGATTTGGAAT